CGGGGTTGAGGGGATCGTGATCGCGATCGTGGGGTTTGGGGGTTGTTGATGATTTAACTTGGTGAGAGAGGTATTCGGAGGTGGTGGGTTGCAAGCTGAAGATGGCCGGATTGAAAGCTGCCGAGAGGGTTGATGTAGTGGTTGACGACCTGGTCCCCCAACAACCGAGCAGGAGTAAGTAAGTGGCCGTGAATATGCCCAGTAATGGTACAGCAGATATACCAGCTGAAACACAGAGATCACGCTTATCCTCTCAGGACTTGGGTTTCATTCTGGGTCGGTTCACGTTTTATTTCGTTTCTGTTGGCTTTTTGCCCTTTTTCTGGTTTCAACAAGTTTGCAAAGCCATCATCATCCCGGGCCTGTCCTTCATCACATCCAGTCTTCTCGATTCGGAACCGCACAGTCTGACAACCGCCGCCAGCATAGAACATCGCTGGAAGAAGACAGAGATGTCATCCGCATCAAGGATTTCGAAATGCGCTGTAAAGAGTGATAAAGGCTTTGCAGACGTGCGTTTCTCGCTCCTGGTGTCTCAGATCTTGACCAAGTGGGAACATTATTTGTTCTGAAGCGGTACTTTTGTTGTCTCCTAAAGCCACACTTCCGTCAGAAGCAGAAGGGAGCTGTCGGCTTGCTAAGAGGAGGGTCTCTGGCCTGCGCCAAATATCGACGGCTGCTCAGAATCGTGATCGCCGACTTCAGGCATGGTATTTGTACGTCGGTCTGGCCATGGAGGACAATGAACAGACCGGTGGCCTTCCAAGTGAAACATCCATAATACGCAGCATCAGTTCCAGCAAAGACATGATCAACACTCGTAGTATTTTAATGGTGTCAGCAAAATTGTGACTCCTTTTCTAAATGATAATCTACTTCGGCTGGCTGCTCTTCCAGCCCTCTCCCAATCTTTCTATTACCCCTTTCCCCATCATTCAGCAGCCTTCTATCTACCTTGCAACCGACCCATGGTCTTTTCTCATCAGAAAATTCCTTTGAGACTATTTGAGGAAGGAAGTAACTGCTATGGATAAGACTGGCACCCGCCTCCGTAGACTATTAGGGCAGACATCGTGAGCGCTGAGCACACACCCTGGATCAACCACCCCGCGGGGTGAAGAGGGTTGCTGGCGGGTCCAGCAAGCAGTCAATGACTTTTTTTGTTTTTTCATCCTCTCCTTCTCTCTGGAGAGTTCGATCTTTTTCCAGAAACACGTCGCGATCTTGCCTTGTTTGCTGTCGAGGGCACACAAACCAAGCAAACACTACCCGTTGTCTTGACCAGTCGACGGACTTACAAGGTAAGAAAACCCCCTCAAACCCACGAGATCTGGATTACCGAGTGGTATTTTCGACTTCAGTCATTTTTCTTTACGTCACGTTTTTATTGCGGTTGCGGTTTTGGTGGACGTCGACGTGGCGTTGACGGCTTCAACCGTCGGCGATGCGTCTCGTCGGCTTCATCTCTGCTGTTGCTTTCATCGCCTTGGTCTTCAGATCAGGCGTCATTTTGAGCGTCCCCCTATGGTTTTTCGGTCAAATTTCCCATTGTTTCTGCTTGTCCAAAAGTACCAGTGCTGAGGCGAAGGACGGCGAGATCATCCTCCAGAATGCTGTTCTAACATACTATCAGACACACATTCGCTCCTTTACTTGCACAAGATTGTCCATCGACTCCAACATGCCCTTCCACAAGCCCGTTCGACACAGCCCCGGTCGCAGTGGTGTTGGTAGCGGCGTTAGAAGACACCATACTCGAAGTCAGCCAGCTTCGCCCCTCTCCCCTCGCAGGCCCGTTACTCCTGTTGCTGCTATCAAGAAGAAGGTCCGGTTCGTCAAGACTCAGAAGACTCAGGCCAAGGCTGGTACCTCCACTTCTCTTGCCCAGTTTTCCTCTACTCAGCCCGAGGAACTCTCTGAGAAGGCCATTGTCGACAAGATGCCTCTTTCTCAGGCCGCCGATGGCGGTAACATTGTCAAGACCGCCGAGAAGGACAAGAACCCCGTCACCTTGGCCATCAACACTGACAACACTATTGCTTCTTCTTCCGGCCTTCTCCTGAAGCAAGCTGCTTCGACAGTCATGAACACCAACGGCCTTCTCACCCCCCAGCCTTCTCATGACACTGTCCAGACCGCTCAGAAGGGCGCTCCGGCCAGCATCCTGGCAAAAGGCCTCGGCCAACAGTTCGACCTTGTTGGAAGACCCATCGGCCAGTCCGACCAGACTCCTGTCGACCCCCTCGTCGTCGTCCTTGACCATTGGATTCGAAACACCAACGACGGCAGCATCGTTGAGGCCCCCAAGCTCCAAGGCTGTGGCCCTTGGGAGGTTCCTCTGCCTCCCGGAATGGACCCCGCCGTCCATGTCAACCCCCATTCGCCCCTTTTGTGCCGCTACCTCGACTGCTGGATTATCGGTCCTGAGGGAACTCCATTGCTGAAGGTTCACATTCATCCCCTCATGCGAGGCCGGCATACGGAGGAGTATGTCGCCAAGAAGTGGACCGCGTGGAAGATGATGTTTGCCTGGGTAGAGCACCTGGAGCAGTACGGCAAGAATGATGCCCGCGCCCCCATGGATATCGTCTCCTTTGTCCGGAACAGAATCGTCTGGGAGGGGAAAATGGCTAGAGAGGGGGCCGCGAGAGCCATAGCGAATCGCGAGGGCAGTGCCATGTTCGATGGCAGAGACAAGTGGTACTTGCCTGCCGTCCGCAAGGGCGGACCCTTTGACAATATGTTCCGATCCATGATTGGCAGCGCCCTGGTCAAGGTTCACAATTGCGAGGCTCTGAAGAAGGCTGCCGCTCACCCCCCCGGCGACAACAGCATTGCCCACATCATTGCCAGATCGAAGTACGTCAACACCGACGCAGGTATCAAGGATCCTGTCCTTGTTTCCGCCGCCAACGACGCCCCCGAGCAGCCCAAGGAAGCCATTTCTACGGCTGGTGTTAAGCGTCCTGCTCCCCAGCCCGATGCTTCCCAGCCGGCTGTCAAGCCCGCCCCGAAGCAGCCCCTTGAGGTCATCGTCGTCGACGACTCTGAGGACTCCAGCTCCAGCTCTGACTCGGAGGATGAGCCCCTGGCCAAGCGCGCTCGCAAGAATCCTCAGCCTAAGCGTGCTACCAAGCCTGCTGCCGAGAAGACTGAGACGGAGGTGAAGCCTCGCCGCAGAGGCAGACCCGTTGGCAGCAAGAACAAGACCACTGCCAAGAAGGCTGCCGGCAAGAAGGCTGACAAGAATGAGGCCAAGGCCTCTGGCAAGGAGACCGATGATGCTTTCGACGAGAATCTCGACAAGGAGTCCAACAAGACCGACGACAAGGATGCTGACAAGCCCGTCCGCAGAATGATCCGAATCAAGGTTCCCGCCAAGGCCGCCGAGAAGCTCGCTGCCATGGCCGACGCCGAGCGCGACGACGCTAAGCGAGAGATCGAGTCCAAGGGCGAGGGCAAGCCTGCCGCCGATAAGTGAGAGATTACCACGACGAGTAGCTGCTTTTAGTGGAACTTTGGCGACAGAGTATTGGCAACGGGAGTAAAGGTTGGACCAAGTGGCTACGTGTTTTGATCAGATTGAGATTTGCTTTTGGACGACCAGGTTTAGGTTCGGCGTATGGACAGTTGGGCCAAGGATACCCAGAGCAAGTTGGGCTTGAGTTCCGAATTGTGTAGCTACAGACATAAGCTTTTCTCTTTAGTAACGTATAAAAGGGAGTTTCCTTCAAAGTGCCGGTGTCTTTTATCGCAACTAGTGTGGTCTTGTTGGTTAGTCTTCATCCTCGCAGGTTCTCGTCGTCTTTGTGCTTGAGATGTATTCATATTGTTTGTTATCTTTATCATTGCCGTCGAGGTTTTGCAATTGTTTCTTTAGAGAAGGTATTAATACCGAGATTGCAAAAGAGTGATCATCTTCTGTGGTCTTCGTCACGATGTGTTAGGTCTTTATTTCCGTGATCCGAAGCAGATTGTCGAGAATTGCCCAACTATTCAAAATCTGGTGCTCACTTGAAAAATTTGGCGTTGTAGTGAATACTGCTGCCTCGGAGAGAAGGGTACTTGAAGAGGCTTCCTTTGGGAATCTGTCACAGCGAGTAGGGAAAGTGGCTGCGGATATGCCCAGTGATGGCCTAACGTGTCAGCTGAACGCGAGATTCCATGTTACCCTCGCTTTGTGTATTTTTTTCAACTCCTTCTTTTCATTGACAAAAGCACTTTTCTTTTTATGGAAAAAAAAAAAAAAAGAGAAGAAGCAGAAACAGACCGGGTTCCAATCCTTTGATCCCTGGTAGCCACCCACACCACTGGTCGGTTGACCAGTTGAGCAAGTTGGATCCGAGGCAAGTCCGAGAGCGCCAATGACAATCCAGCCATCCAATCTCACCATCAAGCTTCCAGGCAGCAGTGGCGGTGCAAAAGCGGAAGGTGCGAGATTAGGTGAGCTGTGTATGAAGGCAACGTGAGTTGGGGGTTAGTGGGCAAGCTCAGCTCACCAGACATCCGAGTTCTAGACCTCAGCCGTATCAAAACTAGTCAACTGTTTGCTAGGCATTGAATTTTGCAGCGAGACATTGTGTAACTTAAACGTGTCTCTTGCCTCACAACTCGTCCGTAAGTGGGATCTTGTCCCGAGATTTCTCAACACCTTTTCAGTAGCAGGCATGCAGAGTATCATTCATTGGACCGGTGCCGAAGTTGACAAGCCTCTAGGTAAGGCTGTAGCTGACAAAAGGAATCGGCCTTACCATCTACGGCAAACACAGGTACTAGCCAAGAAAAACGCTGACACCAAGCCTCAGTGGCTGTTCCCAATCCCAGTCGAAGCTTGAACTACACTTTCCTCAGGAAGTTGAAGGTAAAGAACAATCTAAGATGTGTGTATTAAAACACCTCATCTCCACGAAACCCCTGAAGATGGCGAACAGTTTTAAAGCAGGCCGTTTCAGATTGTCAAGACCCCTTCAAGTCTTCGTGCTGCTTGAAGGATTGGCAACATGGGCAAAATCAATATCGAAAGCTGCCCCAAGCTCTCCATGGAAGAAGAATCAATGGGCTTCCATCTTGATGAAAAGGTAGGCAGTGGTAACTCCTTGACGACATGTCAACCTATGAACTCAATCTCATTGTGACATTGCAACTATACTGACCTTCTTGCAGGAAACGCTTTCGAGGTCTCGACGATCTACACTTTACCACCTTAAAACGCTCTACCTCTTCACAAAAAGCGACTGCAAGACAGTAGTTATTCCGCAAATGCTCTTCGCAATTTCCAGCATTCTTACCAACGGCTTCCGGAACCTCGACACCCTGCCAACTCTCACTTTGACCACCTTCTTCAAGCCCCTGATACACGCTGTGATTTGGATCTATGCCAATCTTCTTCTCGAGAACCTCGCAAACCAACGTCTTCCGGGATCCATGATTGAAGATGCCGCCAACAAGTCTTGGCGACCCCTGCCATCGGGCCGGATAACGGCAGACCAAACCAGACGGATCGCGCTCTATCTCGTGCCATCGCTCATGATCTTCGGGGCATATAGCGGCGCTTTTCGCGAGACGACGAGTTTCATTGCGTTTGTGTGGATGTACAATGATCTCGACGCTGCTGACACGAGCATATGGTGGCGGAACATAGCGAATGCCTTAGGTCTCATGGCGTTTTCTGCGGGAGCCCTGGCGATTACGGGCGGGACGGTTGAGTATGGCTTGAAGAATGCGGCAGTAGTATGGATATTGACGACGGGTGCCGTTGTTCTCACGACAATACATGCCCAGGACTTGCCAGATGTTGTTGGCGATAGAGCCAGGGGGAGGAAGACGGTGCCGCTTGTTTATGGGGATGGAGTTGCGAGATGGACTTTGGCAATGGGTGTCATGTTGTGGTCTGCCGTTCTACCGATGTTCTGGTTCTGGGCCCTTGGCTGGGCGGGCCACGCCCTTGTTCCAGGACTTGGGTTGTTCATAGTCTGTGGAACGCTCTGGAGAAGAACGGTGGATGACGATGAGGTAGTTTGGAAGCTTTGGTGTGCTTGGGCCGGATTGATGTATCTGTTGCCTTCTTTGAAAGTCTTGGGGCTTTGAAAATTGATACTTCTCCTTAGGAGGGCACTCAGAGAGTCGACTGTGTTACATACGGACATATCACATTACCTCATTTGTCTCGAAATGAATTTATAACGGCGTAGGCTCAAGATAGAACATGGCTGTATAACCTAAAAACCAGAAGAAAGTAAAACATAGAGATTCACACGCAAGCGCAGCACTTTATTGACGCTTTTCATTCGTGTTCAACTCGTGGCGCCGATGATTCCTCAACCAACCCCTCAATCGTTGCAATCAAGAACCTCGTGATACGGTTCCTCAAACATCCCCTTTAGACTAGTAGCAATCTGGAAAAGACCGTTGACTTCGGTCAAATTTAGTATGCTAACCCCACCGAGGAAGGCGAAGATCTAGACCTAAGGATCTCATTAGCTTTTCCCGACGTGGGGGTTTTTCATTTTGGGGAATGGCCCGACAGCACCCATCAATTCACATTCTATTTACACCACGAAAAGAGCAAGGCTCTATGGACAACTTGTCTAAGGCAGGTCTTCCAAGACAAACAATACAGGCAGCATTCAATAACTCTGACCTAGGAACAAATATACCCTGAGAAATGGGATCTAATTTAGGTTAGCCGACGTCCCCGGGTTTCTTGAACCAAACATTTCCTCTTGTGAGATACGAGACACAATGGCCCAATCACTCCCGCCAATGATGGGGAATACTGCAGCACCTCGCTTCGCAGCTCAGCTGGATCTATTTATCTAGTGTCTATAACGTACTACGGGGATCAGAGTCCCTAACGCTTTATTTTCCCATCATCCATTCATGACCGAGCAAGTCTTGTTAATGAATGCCCTTACATTGAACAGCATTCAAGTACCATTGCTGAGACATGCTTACTATCACTAAACACAAGAACACAACCCGAGATGACTTTATTTGCTCAGCCAGAGGGAGGCCGTGAAAGAGCCTGCGATGATTCCTAGCGGGAGAGTGGTCGCTAATCCGTCGATCATCGGCCCGGATCCTTCAAGAACTTTTCCGAGGAAAGACATCCCGAAGAAAATACTGCAGAGAATAAACCTGTTAAAAGGTTAGACCTCTGAGGCATGGTGAAGCTCCCTTGGAATGGAGAACATACGTGTCTGTTCGTCCCGCAAATCTCCACCAGACAAAGGCAAGAGAACTGCTGGTTATGGTAGCAAGAGACCATAGCCTGGATCAAGTCAGTTTCGTCACTGTTGAAGGTTCTCAGATATCTGGAACATACCCTGACCAGAATATGTCTCCGAATCCACGTTGTTCGCTGTCCCACCAAAGATAGAGTGAAACGGCGGCGGTGGATAAACCCGTCGCAGTGCGTATGATTAGCCCCCAATCCCAAGCTCGGAGACGACGTCCCAGTACTAAAACTCTATTTTTGAGCCTGCCGACGAAGGTAAATGTTAGACTTGTTTCTCATAGAGGTAATCGCACAAGGGATCGAAGAAGTATTGAAAGCGTACCAGGGTCTCAGAGCTTCACGTTCTTGAGGCCGACCAGGCCCTCCTACGACTGGAGCCGGAAGACCTTGAGCAGTTTGTTGGGTGACAGGAGCGTTCATTTTACGTTCAGCCTTGTACGCTGATCAGTCGACAATCTATATGATCCCGTGATACAAATGGAGGTTCAGCTGAAGACAATAGATGCAGATGAAAACTGACATCTCGTTCGAGGAAACCTTTACGGGGAATGAAAGGGATCTCATATGCACGCTGCAGGCCCCTGAAAGGCCCCGACTCAGCCATCGGGTTCAATAAGGGATAAGTGTGGTAGGACAGCCCAAGACATCGGAACGCACATCCAATGATTACGACGAGAACTCAATATGAGGCGGGAGGCAACCCATGTGGAGGCTTAGAAAAGAGGTCAGAAGAAAAGTCGAGTATGCCTTGGCAGCCGGACAAAAGTTGAGCAAAGTCCTCCCACTAAACCAGGTCTAGGGGAGATGAAGAGGGACACCTTCACCGTGTTCATTTCACTCGATCCCGGTACCGATGGACTATGTCAAGAAACTTCAGATGGCAGTCTTCGCTCTTCGAAGGCCCAAAGAGCACTCTGGAGAGAAAGGAGAAAGCTTGAGGTGCCCGTCTTCGAGATGCAACCCTACCCTCGGAAAGTTCAAGCCCTTTGCGACCGTTTCAAGCCTGAAAAGACACTTGAGAAGTAAACACGGGATGTATTATGATGTGGAAGAGTACGTAAACCAAGAAGTTTTGACCGTGAAGAAAGCAACGGACTTGCTGACTTTATTCTGTAGGCACCTAGCGCTGCTTGGCAAGACTGCCGCTCAGACATCCATTCAACGACGGACCAGGCAGTCTGCGAGAGGAATCAAAGGCAGCCTTTCAAGGACACTTGCAATCATTCTCGGAAGCAACATCATGGCCTGGCCGTCCTTGGCCATCTTGAAGTCCTTTGGGAGGGATGAAGAACGGCTTCGCATGGCCGAGGATCCTGGGCCGACAGCTTCGCATGGTATTAAATTGCAACGCATGATGGGAGGCGTAAGTATAGACATACATCCAAGCAAAAGACAAAGATATACTAACATTGCTATTTAATCAGCTAGATCTTCTCCTACCAAAGCCTGATCCCGGCATAGCTGCAATGGCCATTGTTGCTTTCGGAGCCGGAGTATGCACGATGTACCATCTCAATCGCGATGATGAACTCCAAGACAAAATTCTCGCTGCGGGAATGACACTCGCGTTCATAGCCGGAACAATTCTTGGATACGATGCAGAAGCCATTATCCTGAACATACTTCCTTGGACGATCCTACTTGCTCTCTCGCTCAGTGCAATCGTGCATCAAATCTGGCGTTACATGGCGTGGACACCGAGGAGCTGCGATAGTGGCTTGCCCATATGGACATACTCTTGATGGTCAATGCATGACAAAGGAGGCGGCTATGGGTTAGTTGAGAAGACGCGGTCACATGTGTGGTGATGTCTATTGCGAGTAGTTTCATGATAAGTTTTAAAAATTGTTCTTGAGCTTTCATTCGTTGTTTGTCTCACTATACCGAAATTCGTTTCAAACTTATTCAATAGAAAAACCATGTTGTAGATGATGAATAACGCCGTGGTTTGGAACGAGAATTCGACCTGGCCTGGCGAAATCAAGTCGCTCTTCTGATGTACTTCTATTGGCTCCACACCGAGCACACCGAGCCCGACCAGGTCCGACCGAGCCCAACCCCACCAACCCCTCCATCCAAGCTTCCGGCACCTCAGCTTCGACTTCAAATCTCCATCTTCCACACAACAACCGCCCTCAAAATGACAACAACCGCCCCTTTCCTCTTCCCGCGGGAATACTCCTTCCCGCCCTTCTTCACCCGCCAAACAAACCTCACCACACACCACGCTCAGCTCGTCAAATGGTCCGACCTGATCCTCGCCTACTGCCGCCACAACCGCATCTTCAAGCTCTCCCTCAACGCCGCCATCCCCTCTGCGCCGACCGCCGCCCTTCCGCACGCGCTGCCCAACACATCCACGCCTTCCATGGCAATCACCGACCCGACCCTCGGCGGCACCTCCACTGCGTCATCGGGGGCTGCCGGCCCAGAGGAGCTGTTCCACAACAAGACGCTGAACAAGCGCCTCTCGCTGGCCGACGCGCGCGAGGTTCTCGAGTTCATGAAGAAGGACGGCCGCGCGGAGCAGCTGCCCGCTTCGCCGGACGTGTTTTGGGTGTACTGGCGCACGCCGGACGAGTGGGCTGCGGCGATCGAGGCGTGGATCGACGAGACGGCGCAGAAGGGGGTTGTGTTGACGTTGTATGAGCTCACTGAGGGCGAGGGCACGAGGGGGACGGGTGAGTGTTTTCTGGGTGTTTCCTATGATATGGAGGGATTCAATACTAACGGTCGATTTTTGCAGATTTCCACGGCCTCGATTCCGACTTACTGCAAAAAGCGCTGCAGGTCCTGGTCAAGCGAGGCAAAGCTCAAATCTTTGGACAGGAGGACTCCCAGGGTGTCAAGTTCTTCTGATTACCGATCGACGATACGACGGCACGATGTAGCTATTCTCCCATTCGATTCTCTTGAAGACGTAACGACATTCATACATTATACATCCGTATACCTCCGTATACTTCCGCAACGATCAACACCAGCGACACCGACAACGGCACCGACACCGACGGACCGTCGGCGTTTCTACTTCCCGATGCAATGACCTTCAACTCCTTGCGCGCGCGGGCGGCTATTATGTACAAGAGCGTAGCAATATTCAGCAAAACATCATGACTTTTCGAAAAAGTTCTTGACGAGGTACTTCTCGTCAAACGTCACCTGCTGGGTCATGGCCACGTCCAGAAGCCAGTCGGCGGCGACGATACGAGGCTCCATGTGGCCTTTGCGGGCCATCTCCTCAAACTTGGGCCAAAGGGCGCGCTCCTGCAGACTGTTGGAGCTTAGCAGATAGACGGGTTCAGGCGCGGCGCCGCCATCTTCCTCGGCGGTCGTGGGCTTGATGGTGGTGCCGCTGCGTGCGCGGTAGAGCTTGAACATTGCGCCGTTGGCCTCTGCGATGGCCTTGTAGCTATCAGGGCCGTTGCTGATGTGCTCCGTACAGTAGACCGGTACCGTCCACAGGAGTTTGCCGAGATTCGCCCTAGCCCGGGAGACAGCCGTCTCTATCTTGACTCCGAACTTCTTCTCGTTTTCTTTATCGTCGAGAAGGAAGTCTTCAGGGTCAGGAGCTTCACCCTTATCGAGCGCTTCGTCGATGAACTTGGACGAGAGAATCGTAGGCCCCTTGGCTAAGGTCTTGAGGAACTTGACTGTCCGCACCATGTGCGGGGCGGCGAGGTAGTCAGAGGGCTTGTCGTCCTGGACTATGAGGATGCCCATGTCGCGAAGCTTACGCTGTGTGGTGTTAGTACCTAGGCATAGAAGAATGATGGAGGAACTGAGACAACTGACCCTTTCAACATCCTCCTTGTGCTTGTTGTTGACCCATCTCGTAAACCCGGTCAATACAACCCTCATTTCGACCTCTGGACCTGCCGACTTCCGCTTCTTCGTCGGGCGTCTCTCGTCGTCGTCCTTGTCGTCATGGTCGTCGCCGTCGTCCGCCTGCGCTGGGCTTGACGTCCGTCCCCGCTCCTTGTCAATTTGGTCCGCAGCACGCTTGCCACCCCAGGGGCCGCCCTGCTTGGCTCCCCGCTTCTTCTCCTTCTCGTATAGAGCAATGTCTGGCGCGATGCGTTGAAGGTTGGTGAGCGCCTTGCTCTTGGCACTTCTTGCGCTTCCTGTGGACATAACAGAGGGGGTATCATTCTCCTTGCCGCGGGCACCACCTTTCTTGGGACGAATAGGCGTCATAAAGCTGTCGTCGACCGCATCGTCCTTGGTTCCGTCGTCCTTCTCCTCTTGCCTCCCAATAACGACACCCTCGGCAGGGCCGTAGTTGTACGAGTTGTCCTGGGCGGCTTCGAGAATCCTGCGCTTACGCTTGGCACCGGGGGACAAATGCTCTTCTCCACCCGGGTAGTACGTCTCTCGTAACCTGGATTCGTCGAAAAAGGTCTGGCCAATAACCTCGCCGAGATTCGTACGGACGGGAAAATGGGAATATTTGGCTACGGTAACGCTTTGCTTCTCGCACTTGGCATAGCTCTCCTCGATCCACAAGTGGTTGACAGTTTCGATGTTCCAGTCCTTAGCCGCCTCGTACTTTTCGCTACTGCTGCGGGCAGTAATGAGATGGGTGTTCTCGGCCTTCATCGTCTTGGTATACGTGGCGCCAGTTGCCCGAATAAGGTTCTCGAGATAGATACGAGCGTCGCCACCGTAATTGGAAAGGCAAATCTTGAAGTCCTCGAAGCCTTCGATGCCGTTTCGGGGGACAGGGTAGTGGAGTAGTCGTCGCAGGGGCGAGGTCCATTCGTTGTGAGTGATGAGGTGGTAGAGCCACGAGAGATTTCCGACATCCTTGCCCGATTGAGCCGCCTTAACATACTGTTCGCCGTCGCGGTATTGGCACACGAAGTAGTCGCAGTCGTCAACATCCTGGACCACTCTGCCGCCTCCATTGATGACGAGTTGCTTGACGATTTCCAACGATCTCGGGGTGATACTAAGGTCCCACGAGAACATGACGCTCTTTCCTTGAAATATGGTGGCAGCCCTGCGTGTGCTATCGACGAGCTGGTTAGGCATGGTAGCCGTTGCTCCTTGGAGGTGATCGTACTTGGGCATCTGCACTTCGGCTTGCAGCTCGGGGTTTTTGAGGATTTCGGGGTCGGGTAAGGTATAGGGGCCCTCATCGATGCGCTTGCCGAGTTTGAAGCAGTCTTCGAACCTACTGCGCGTAAGCAGGCAACAACGGAAGGACTCAAGATGAACGCAACTGACCAGTGTGGTAGAACAATCTTGCATTTGAGTCCCTTCTCCTTAGCAGTGACACATTTGGGATGCTCCATAGACAGCGCGCAGATGTGTGTGGTCTGGCGGGTGACGTCGGCAGTCTCCATACCGCCCATAGCGAGAGTCGCCCCGATTATTGTCTCCTTGTCGATTTCGGGCAGGTCGGCGCAGGTGATGTTGATTTTCGAGAAGAACATGCGCGGGTCGGGCGAGTAGGGACGGACCTGGGCCTGTTTGTTCCTGTGGATGGAGGCTTTGAGCCAGTTGGACTCGACAACAGGGATCATGAAGGCCTGGGTTTCTGTGAACTGAGGGAAGTCGATTGTGTTGGAGACTATGTGAGTAACTTGCTCGAGGCGTATTGAGCCGTCACGGCTCGGGTCGAGGACTTCGCCGCCGCGGCCTATAACGATCTCCGTAAGGTCGCTGATCTCCTTGGGCGCCAAGTAGGCGGACGGCACGAATGCAAAGGCGCATTCCGCAAAGAGGCCTTTGGCGTCGGCCATGGTTGTCGTCCGTGATCGTCGTCCGTGGGCGTCGTCGTCGTCGTCGTCGTCGTCGTCGTCGTCGTTGGCGTTGTTGTCCTTAGGCGTCGTGGTCGTTGCCGTCCGGGTTGTGTAGGTTGCAGAGGCGATATTTCTTGCCCTGGTTGACGCGACTGGGCTTGACGCGCTCAAGAGAGGCCCACTACACCACACGCGAATTGACCACTACAGCACATGACGTTGAGAGATACCTGCATTTGTATGTAAACCCCACTATAGAGTAAGTAGCTACCCATCACAGTACTATTAGCGCGTAGTAGGCCATTAAAAGCGCGCCGTGTGCACGGGCGTCTGACAGGCACCCGACAGACTCTGCCTGGGCGGCACACCTGTCAGCCAAAGCACCAAACGAGATATGGACGACGATTATGGACGACAACGAGGACCCGGACGGTAGCAAGGACAACAGAAGAAAGTACCGGGACCAGTCATTCATTCACATCATCTCCAGTGTAACCAGCTCGAGCTCCGGTGAGCAACCATTTTACACAATTCAAAATCGGCGGGGCAGCGTAAGATCAGAGAAAATGCGTCCAAGATCATTTCGACTCACTCACCTGCTCGTCGGCCGTATGCCTAGAATGGCAAGCCTATTTTGAGAGACGCACCTTCTATTGCCTCTCTGATGGTTTTTGACAATAAGAGCCGTACTCTCTCGCGGGGTGACACCCCCTTCGAGGACTTCAAGATTGGCCTCTCCAGATACGATGTCGACGTTCGTATCTATCTCGAGAATCTTCTTTCTATTGCCTCGTTCTCAACACACTTGCCGACAAAAAGAAGTTCGAGAAAGCCACACGGAGCCCACATACGACCGGGCAATTGCGGGTGAACAAGTACAGATACATTGAAGTTGTGGCATCTGAGGTGTTTCACAATGTCGCGGTACCTGGCAGCTTTGACGCAGCTGGTCCGACGCGGATCGGGCCATCAAATAACTCGCAGCCGCTAGCAAC